ATTGGCCAAACAAAGAAACACCATCAGTACTTATCTGTAGTGAAATTATATCAACATATTGAATAGTTGAATTTCATTCTAAATCTAAAATTATTCAATTAGCTATAACAAAATGGTAATAAGATCCTCCAAAACCTTTTTAATTTGAGATTCTGCTTCAGAAATTGACACTGCACCTAATAGTCTTAGGATCTTTTGGTGACTTTAAGAAAGCTAATTTCAAGCAAAGCTGAGAGTGAACTCAAAGTTACAAAATATTTTGTAGCCCAGTCAGCATGAAATCATCTGCATTTTGTCCAATGTGACATTTTTAACTATTACTGTTAGTTTTAGACATTAACTTTCTTTAGTTAACAAGGCCTTATATTGAACAGAAATTTAAATTTCTTAATTTCCAAGAATTATTAACCTCTACAGTATGTGCTATCTGTACCGACACAACAAATATGTTCTATACTAAACATTATTGTATATACTTACAAGTATAACTTAAGTTTACAAAACCTCTGTTGACAATTGTTTGTAAAATCTGCATATTATTCACTGAAATTTGGTATTAGTGGAACTTCATTTAATGTTACAATTCATAAAACTATAGTTTATGTTCAAAGCATTAATTTAATTTATAGTCTAAGTTTAACTTCATGTGTACTTGCATGATAATTTATACTAAAAATAAATAAGTAATATGTACTTAAAAGTTTGTCTTACTTTAAGAGTTGGATTACTTCAAGTTATTGGTATAACTTATGCAGTGGTATGGTTGTCTTTTATAAGTTTTAATACTTTGATGAGCTACATATAAAAATTTCAAAAATATGGGCAACATTTATCCAGGCAGATATACTAAATAACTAAAAAAAAAGTCTGAAATGTTAATATACCATGTATTTTACTTATATTCAAGCAAAATATGGCAGAATAATGTGAACAAAAGTCAGCATTTTATTGCTTTGAGGGTTTTTGTTTGCCATTAATGTTAAGAAAAATAAAAAATCCTTATTAGCCTCAAAAAAGAATTATATTGGATGAAAAATGAATGGAAATTAACATATTATATGTTAAATAGATATATAGTTTTCCAAAATTTTTAAAGAACTGGATGCTATATAATTTAATCTATAATGTGGTGTAAACTGAATAAAAACATTCAAAAAATGTCTTCATAGTAATCAGATGATGAATATTGTATTTGCATAGAAGACAACAAAATCAACTGAATGAAAACAATAAAAAAAATGTTTATACCCTAACCGTATCATTCACACAATGGTTCTAACTAAATGACAACATTGAATAGTTGTGTGCATCTTATCTGGGATTTCACTTTTCTTCTTCTATTACATCTCTTCTTGGCCACCCCTTGGATGAGCTCCTCCATGTAGGGATCTGCAAAAAGGACCAAAAGAGATCTGGATATTTTCTCCGGGTCTCCCCAACACTTACCAGTTCCTAGCTGCTGAGGTGGTGGACCATGGAGAACCATCAATGCTGGACTCGTGCACTGGGGAAATATACAATTGAGTACCGATATGGTAGCAAGTGGGGCAGTGTAATGCAGGTCATCCCGCATCTAACTAAAGGAATTACATGTGCCACTTATGCTGTCCTCCTGCTGCTTGAGTGTTCAATTGAGGTGAGCACATAGTATGATGCTGTGCCATCCTCCTGCAGCCAAGTATGTTCAGTTGAGTTGAGGCGAGCACACTATAATACTGTGCCCTCCTCCTGTAGCCAGTGTTTATTCAATAGAGTTGAAATGAACACGCAGTATGATTTTGTGTCCTTCTCCTGTAATCAAAATATGTTACATAGGCCTGATGTGAGCACACGTTATGATGTATGCCCTCCTTCTGCAGCCTGTGACTGTTCATTGGAGTTAAGGTGAGCACGAATTATGATACCATGCCCTCCTCTATAGTCATGTCTATTCAGTTAACTTGAGGCCCTCCTTCTGTGGCCAGTGTCTGTTCAGTTGAGTTGAAGTGTGAGCATGCTATTCCAACCTCTATGGCATGACTACTGTGTGCTCTTCCCACAGCTGGTGTCAGTCCAATATAATCTAATGGTAGATGATACCATGCCCTCCTTCTGTGGCCAGTGTCTGTTCAGTTGAGTTGAAGTGTGAGCATGCTATTCCAACCTCTATGGCATGACTACTGTGCGCTCTTCCCACAGCTGGTGTCAGTCCAATATAATCTGATGGTAGAGTTGAGGTGAGCACATAAGGTACAGTCTGAATGCACTCTTACCATGCTACATATATTGGCTGTTTGACCTCTTGTGTGCAAGTACTCAGATGGCTGTGTTCTTCTATGACACATGAAGTGCATTTGCTTCTTCCTCTCTTTCTTTCTGGATGAAGGTTATACCATGGATGAGATGAGATATGGTCTCCTATGAGTGTGCCCCTTTGGAGTCTGCCATTTGGTGTTACACTCTGTGGGCTTTTATTGAAGTGCTTTCTGAAGGGAGCTCATCTAGGTAAAACTTTGCACTGACTCCTCCACCACTTCAACATGGGATTATAGATAAACTGTGTGAAGAGGTGTGATATTGTTTCAGAAGATAACATTTTCTAAACCTGAAAATGTATTTCCAATAGATATTCACATCCATTCTCTCCACTTCCAGTGCACCTATGTATTCCTTGCCTCATCAAAAATTCATAGGGTGGGTTATTGTACATAGAGGTGTGTTGTCTTTCTATTGATGGAAGGTTTTTGATGTCATTATGCAGTAGTGCAATTCATGAGAAACCTCGTGAGATTGGGTGGGAGTTCACTAAAGGCTAGAAGATAATTGTGTGAAGAGATATCTATTACAAATATATTTTCAGGTAAGGAAAATGTTAACTCCTGTTTTAGCTAATTATATTTAAACATTCTTTATAGCTAATAATGGTTGGAGACAGCTTGAATGGGTAATGAAGAAAAACTTTAATATAAGTTTAACATAACAGCAAATGCACAATGTTTTGACAAAACCTTATCAATATTAGTATTTAATATGGGTTATAATTTAGCATTCTTAAGCTTATATGTTCATTTCTAGAAGTGTGATTGATATGAAAATACAAACCATTAAAGACAAATATTTCAAATTTTGTAATTTGAATTAAATAGCTGTAATTATACTTAAAAAAATTATGAAGTCTAAACTTAAATTCACATTCATAAATTGGATGCCTGTTTTTAGTTGTTGTTGTTTTTAAATCATCACTTATCCAGTTAATACACTTGCATTTTGGACATAATATGAAATGCATCTTTTTTCATGCTTATTATTATTTCATAACAATGAAAAATCAATATTGTAACAAGCCTTATGTTGTAAGAGGTGCAAGTGTCCTAAGCAATACTAACTTTGATGTAAACAAATCTCTCATTTCTAGACACTTTGTTAGTGTGTGTGTGTGTATATGATGTAAAACCCATGGTATGAAAATTTACCATGGCTACATGTAAGTGATGTTGATATTGTTATATTAGAAAAAATCAGTTATTGGTTGAGGACATAAGGTTGCAGTACACTCCAACTGCATTAAGCTTAGAAAAACTTGAAAAGAAGCTTTTAAGGTAATTAATTAAGAGACCAATTAATAAAAACACTGATATATAATATTTCTCTTTGATACAATATGGTAGGGTAAGGACATTAGGGTGTTTTTTTTATTAATTTCTAATAAAATGGAGGGGGTCTGACCCTCCTAGACCTGCATCTACTTATTCAACATTAAATAATAGTTATTAAGTTTTGTAAAAATAGATAGAGTGGTGGGGGCATGGATGTCTGCAATGAGACTCCCTTGGAAATGAGAAACTTATTTCTGTGGATGCTCATGGGTGGGGGTTAAGCTCCCTGGACTCCTCCTCTAGGTTGATACCATCTTATACAACATTAAAAATAGTTATTAATTCCTAAAAATAATGAAGGCAGAGGTCTGGATCTTCTTGATTCCTTCCATATATACCTGCCTATAGATACAACATTAAAGAATGTAGCTACATAATTGTAAATTAGAAATGAAAAAGAGTAAATTCACATTTTAATAGCTAGAGTGCTGCCAATCAGTAGCTCAAAATTAGTGTCAGTGGTAGATAGTCTTAGTAGCTTTACAATAAATAATAAAGCAGGATGAGCAAAAGCAGTGGCAATGTGAATCGAACCTGAGACTTTTCGAAACACGAGTCATTCCCCCCCTCAATCCTTATGTAACAATTTCATACATAACAATAAACAAATATAATGGCAATATTTTGATTAGATGATTATTTTTGTAGCAGTCAATTGAATTGTAGTTTTGATTTCATTCATTGATGTAATAATTGGAAGTGGAAACAAATGAAACAATCAATTTTAATTATTTGATTATTCTCCTGGCATTAATCAAATAAAATTATCATAATTTCTATTAATCAATTAGTTTACAAAACACTAGTTGATGTAATTGCTGCTCATAGATACTTGAGTCGATTATATCAATTGAATAAATTGCTCAGCTCTTTGTGATACTATGGCTTTTCAGGTTGGCCAGGTATGCAACACACAAAGTCTTGGTTGAAGTGCTTTTTATAATAGTAATTTATGAGATGGCAGTTGATATGTATACCATGTGTTGGCCTGATGAACTCTGGTTTCCAAAAATGACCTCATTGGCTGTGGTCAAGATGAAATTACATTGTTGCTGGAACCCAGAGCCATTAAAAAATATATATTTCTTAAAAATTATTAACAGTTATAATATGATGTAATATCACACAAACAACTGATCTATAGATCATGTTTTGCAAGTGTAAGGTATTATTTGCTTTGATTATTGACTACGTGTTATCCTATATAATGAATAGTATATATTAATGAATGATTATTAGGTGTACTGGACCTTGTACCCTTGAGTATTATATGTATAATATAGCATGTATCCTGTTAAAAAGAAGTGCAGTTTGTCTTTCAGCAGTTTTAATAATCAACTTGCCATTATTCTGTTTCTTATTTAGGAGAGAGAAATATCAGCATGCAGAAACATGTTGAACAGTTGATTTATTTGCCTTATGAGTCAGCAGGTAGAGAGATCAACAGCATCACACAACAGTTGTTAAAATCCCAGGATCTTGTTCAGGTACAGTGTAATTGTCAGTTTAAATAATTAGAAAAATGAGTGTATAATTCATGGACTGGTATGTGTAAAAATAGAATTTAAGATGTATGTTTCTCCCTTTGGTATTTTAAGTTAATACATGTCATCTGAACTATGCCTGCAGTATTCAGAGCCTTTTTTTATAGTACTTCTTGTAATAAGTACTCAAAACTAAATAGTATAACATTAAGTGCCTAAGTGTATAATGTGTGAAATGCCATTTGGGCATAAAAAAGTGAAAAAATCATTACTTAAATTTTCATTTGTTTTCCCATAATTCTGATAGTAGTTATGGATTTCAGAACAGAGGTGTGTAGAATTGTATAAATTGTTGTAGCTCATAAAGAATCAATTTTCAGAGATTACTTTCACACACTATATGCTCCCCCAGTGACACAACAGTATGTCTACTGACTTACAATGCTTGAAACCAGGTTTCGATACCCGTGGTGAGCAAAGCACAGATAGCCCATTGTGTAGCTTCTTGCTTAATTACAAACAAACAATCACACACTATATGTATTGAAGACTGCTATAAAATATATTTTAAATGAGAAATTGTGGAGGAATATTTTAAGTAATTCATTTTAAAGAGTAAAGTCTAATTGGAAGTGAGAATGGTTTCTTGACCTGCCATTAAACTAGATTTTTTCTGACTTCATTTATTTTTATTTTTTTCACAAAGATACTCAGTTAAATGCAATATATCGACAGTTTCCAATATATTACCTTCCCTCTCTCACAAGATCAGCTTTTCCCATTTTGTGCTGCCCTCTAAATGTGAACCTTTATCAAAACGTATGCCACAAACCTTCCACATCCCTCTGTTGGAATCCAAAGTTTCAACATGTCTCTGTTGCAAATCATCATGCGTAAACTCTCCACCAATAGGAGAACACTACTATCATGTGACTCCCTCTATGCGTCACTACCGAACTATCACTTCCTATTTGGTAGTGCTCGAGTGCAGACATCTTTAGACCGCTAATTATCCTTGAAGTAGTTTAACTTTATTTAATTTGGTTCAACTGCATTTATTTTCATTTCACTTTTACTTGAGAGCATTTGATTTACCTTGCCATGTATTTTTCGCCTGTTATCTAGCCTGAAGTTGCTGTTACCAGTGCGGTTGCATATCACTCGTCTGTTACCGCACTTTCGGCCACAGGTGCGGGCGTCCTGTCGGGAGATTTCTCTGTCTTTGTTCACAGGGAGATGGAGCTTTATATGGAATGCACATTGTATCCTGTTTGTGCCCTTCTTCTTTCTGTACTTTTCGAGCTTTTTACAGGTGCAGGCTGACAAAATGTTGATCTTTTACCCACCCAGAATTCACCGTGCCTTCCCACATCTTTCTAAGGATTCTATTCAGCCCTCGTCAACTTTCTCGGAGATTGTATCTCAGATATGTGATGTTTTATCTCTTGCCATAATTATTTTTACCCACGTCCTTCCTTATTGCTTGTTTCTACCTCTCTACCTTGTTTTTCCCCATCCCCTTATGTTCGGGTTTACACTAGGCTTTGCTGCACCATTGGGTGATGGCATCGGTCCGCCTTGTCCCCTTGCGACTTTTAGGGCAAGCTCCCAATTTCTAGACCACCAATTGTGGGTTCAGTTTTATCTTTTTGGGGAAACATGTCTCACTTTTCCTGTTCATCCTACACATTGCCCGGTTTTCTCGTCTTGATCTTCCTCTGACACTCTGTTATACTTCACCTCAATCCTCTTCCTGTCTGAGGTTTTCATGGAAACCCTGTGGGGTTTTCTGGGGACATACTTTTCCCTTCCACTGTCAACCATGTGTTGTCTTCAGCTCTGGCCCTACACACTTGGTTTACTTCTCTTTAGGACTTTTTGGGTCGCAACGCTATATTTTTGCGGAACCGTCGCCCGGGACCTTCTTATGGCCCCATTTTTACGGTGTTTCGAGTGTGATACGATTACTGTGTCCTTGCAGTTGCAGTTGGCTTCTGTCCAACAGTGATCCACCTTTCACATCGGATGCCCCAATGGTCTCTATCGGAACCAGGTGTGGCTCTGAATCCAGTTTTTTAACTCTATCCTTCACAGCCCTGCCTGTCCCAGCTTCCCGCTGTATGCTGTTCGCTATTTTTCGCGGTGTTACACTGTATGCAGGTGACGGTTCCAGTGATTGTATGGTGAGTTTGGGACTGAGGGTAGCTCGTCTGGCATATTTCATTCATCAGAGCAGCCCTTTCCTCTCCAAAGCTTGGGCTCATAGTGTTCTATCAGAGGGTTTCAGCATACCCTTTTCCCCTCTCTCCAGTTTCCTTACTCATCATCGGGATCCATGATCATGCCAGTGTCTCCCAAACCAGTACTTGGCCTCTTCACCAAACAGGTTGTTGTACCTGCTCCATGTGGGTCGCTTGGGTTTTACTCCCACCAGTTTGCCCGTCGTGGAGCAGTATACCATTTTAGTGTTCTGCCCTTCGGTCTGGCTTCCACGCCACTTGTTTTCTCAAGTGGTTTGCCCCTTTGCTCAGCATATTCATGCACTGCAGCTATGCTTACATGGATGACTGGTTTCTTCTTGTCCATTCCGAATGGAAGTCGACCAGTCCTTTTCATCAGCTCCTTCTAAATACTGTGCAGTTGGGATGGTTGATCATATTGGAGTGGTCCTTCCTTCATCCTACCCATTATCTTGTACATCTGGGTGTTTTCTTGAATACCCACCTTGGTCGGGCCCAACCTTCTCCTCTCTGGCTCCTTTCTTTAAACTGACCATTCGAACAGCCCAGTCTGCTCCCTTACTTACTGTTGGTGAGATTATATTGCTTTTGGGGAGGTGGTCATCTCTGATACCTGTCATAACCCTCAACAGGGCTCATTGAGTGAGCCATTCATGACCAGTGGAATCTTGCACGGGATCCCGTGGATGCTCCTATTCACCTTCCCTCCTTGATGGACGATCTCCATTGGTGGTTGGACAAGGCCCATACATCGGTGGGTGTTCTGCTTCCTCCTCCATAGCCATATATACATCTGTTCACTGTTGCATCCCTTCAGGGCTTGGGTGCATGGATCCATCACCAAGAGGCTTCAGTTTGTTGGTCTGCGGTCTATTGGCCATTGAATCATTTTCTTTCTTTCACCAGCAATCACCTGGATATGATCCATTCTGATAATGCTACAGTGGTGGCTTATATCATTCACCAAGGCAGACTCAGTCGAGATCCCTGTGTTTTGCACATTGGATCTTCTCTATTGGGCCCACTCCCATCACATTTGTTTCATGGCGTGTCATAGTCTAGGTGCATTCTATCTGGTGACGGATCATCTTTCCCGAACTGGATCGAGTTTATCCCACTGAGTGGTCCCTACATACTGCTGTTTTTCTGTGGTACTGTCATTGCTTGGGTACTCCCCATATCGATGCATTTCCTCAATTTTGAGTTTTTGGGCAGCTTTATCCCATACCTTCCATTTTTCTGGTTTCCACAGGGTGATTTCCTCCCCAGTCTTTTCCATGTTGATCTTTTTGGCTCTGTTGGCCGCTGAGACGTCCATCACTTCCAAACTGGAGCATTAATGTGGTTCTCCATGCCCTTAATTTAGTTCCATTCGAACATATTTCTACTGTTACTTGTTCCACCTCTCACTTAAGACATATTTCCTCCTATTGGCTTGAGGGCATCATGGAATGGATATTTTTGCTTTTGACATCACCAGGAACTTGTTTTATTCAACCTACCTCATTCTTTATCTGGATCGGGCATTTCTTCTCCAGACCTCGGAGGCTCACAAGGGTCATTCCTCCTTTTACCCTCTCTCCCTTCCCTTTATCTGTGATCAATACCCTCATCCTGATTCAGATAGAATCGTCTGCCCAGCACATGCCCTCCATTATTATATTGCATGCACGGCTTCCTTCTGGGATTCACGTTCCCACCTCTTTATCCCATGACAAACTTCTTGTTACCCTGACCACTTGGGTTTGTCTTTTGATCCAGATGGCTTATTCCTCCTTTTCCCCCTCTCTGCGTGATCTCTTTCCCATGTCTTCCCATCAAATCCGACACCTTACCTTCTCCCTTTCTTCTCAGGTCATGTGGACGACCCTGCACACGTTTATCTCCCACTACTTGCACCACATCCCAATTTCTGCAGGGGTATCACCTGCACCTGTGGCTATTCTATAGACTTGTGAGCAGCTTTGACATGAGGTAAGTTCGTACTTATTCCTTCTTTTCTTTCAGGGGCCCTTACTTCAACTTCACTTTGCATCCCCCTCTGTGGCGAGTGGTGCCTGACCAGGTGTTCTTTCTAAACACTCAAACAAACAAAAACACAAATCCACACTGTATGCCATATTGATTCACGCACTTTGTCCATGGCTATGCATGTTCAACCTTCAGATGGGGTGTTTCACAAGATCACTAGTGTGTGAATAACCTTGTGATGTTTGCTTCATAAAAATGCCCGTCCCAGACCATACCACCCATAGACAGCATGGGTAAAGCAGAAAGGGATTGCTGTCCATCCCTACCATGCCTAAACTGAATAAGTTGGTATGTTCTGCTTTTCAAAATAGGGTTTTGTGATCACCCATTGCACTGTTTCAGTTGTAGCAGTCCATCTGAACTATCCAATGCACTTCTCCCCCTTTCTTCCAGTGGAGTGCATATGTATTTACCATTCTCCAGTTCCAAGCTGCTGGGGTGGTTGACCATGGAGGCAACCTGCTGAATGGGTTCCGCAAAGATGGCTATAACCATTCAGTTCAAAGTAGGGTGGTAGTGTTCTGCTGGTGTAGGAGTTACAAGATCCTCTGGATGAGTGACACATGCCCAGAATGAGATGCCTAAGTGCAGTTTACCTCTCTGATTGGGTGCCCTCCTACCCTCATGTGGATGATGGTTCCCAGCAAGTGAGGTTTTGGAGATCGAGTGAACCAGTCACATTAATCCTCACACAGGTTTTGGGTCATCCATCTTTCCTCTCGACTCTGTCTT